CACCAATACATATCTTTATACTGATATTGTGCCTTATGATGTGCTGTTCACATTCACACTCTGGCTGGAGATATTCATTTGTACACTCTTCATATCACAGTACTGCAAAGATCACAGAAAATGTACTTGCAATTGCTGCAAAATACGAGGCAGTTGTGTTTTAGACCAAACATATAATGGTGATTGAGTGCAACCTGGACACATCAGTGAAATAATCTTGCCAGAAGAATAGAGTTTGATCTTTGTGTCAATTCTGTCTGCATCATCTCAGTGAGCTCTTATGGGATTTTATAAGGCAAATGTAGGGCTTTCCAACGTTTCATTGTGGATGAGAAACAGCTGGAAAAGGCTAGTGTGGATGGAGAGCATTTTGAAACGAAAACACCATTTTCAAACGTATCCTGGTTAGCCTAAATTAGGTCAGTTTTGCTTTCAAGTCTGTGGACTGAATCTACAAAATGTTGATTAACACTGACAAAATAATATAAAAAGTCATTCTTTTTCATCCCTCGTAATTTTGTTCATAAAAAAGAACTGGGAAATAATTGACTAATAAATAACAGTATATTTTTAAAATGTATTTAAGTGTAAAATACAACACATTTAAATAAATGTTTCAAATATACAATGATGTGATGTAACTATTATGCAACATGATGCAGCAAGTCTTTACATGGAGCTGAACTCCGTAAACTCCACCAAAGGGAATTACACTGTCGATGCATAAACAACTGTTCCTCCACCGAAAAAAGTTACACCTCAAAAGGACAATTTAGACAACTTTTTGATACAATTTCTATTAATATAGAGTAGACTGTAATAGCTTCACCCAGCTTTTAAACAGAAACATGAGATGTCACACTCCAAGGAAACTGTAGAGCAGTGATCCTCAAATCTGGCTCCCCGGGGCCCACTTCCTGCAGAGTTTAGCTCCAACCCTAATCAAACAAACCTACCTGTGATTTTCTAATGATCCTGAAGACACACTGTCGATGCATAAACAACCGTTCCTCCACCGAAAAAAGTTACACCTCAAAAGGACAATTTAGACAACATTTTGATACAATTTCTATTAATATAGAGTAGACTGTAATAGCTTCACCCAGGTTTTAAATAGAAACATGAGATGTCACACTCCAAGGAAACTGTAGAGCAGTGATCCTCAAATCTGGCTCCCCGGCCCCACACAGGGTTGAAGCTAAACTCTGCAGGAAAGTGGATCTCGCAAGCCAGATTTGAGGATCACTGCTGTAGAGTCTGAATGCGACTGTGAGGGCTTTGGGTCGGCATTTGGGATAGGGCTTAGCATAGCTTTGCACAGTAGCTCTGGCTGTGAATAAATCATACTGTGTGAAACACTCACCTGGGCTGTCAGAGTGGCACTGGGGTGACAGAAGAGAGCAGACCTGGCACCTGTTCTCAGACCGTGTGCTCTCCTGACAGTCTGGTGACCTCCAAGTGAAATGGACAGCGCCTCCTGCGGGAAAGGAGGAAATACAGAATATCAGTGTGACATTCAAGAACAAGGAATGATATTCAAATAATGTTCCCTGTAAGTGGAAATATTGTAATTAGGCGTTCCAAACACACGAATGACAAAGTAAGGTTGTATTTACATGTGGGAAATGGGACACGAGTTGCTGAGTTGTGACGTTGGAAGTGGAGTGTCGATTTAAAACATTGCAGAAACACTGATGTATAATATAGATAATATCATAGTAAATTATTTTCCAAGTTATTTTAATTTTACATGCTGTATTTCAGTCATTTTATAGGTGCAGGAGTGGAAAGTTTATCACTTGACTTTCACTGTTTGCTATACATAACAAATGATTTAATTTTGATGCCATGTATATAATAAGTGAATCTGAATTCAGATGCACTTTTTGGGGTTCGAGTTTCCCAGGTGCACTTGAAAGCAGCATAAGCATTTTTCTATAGCCTATAGGGATGGACGATATGGGCTTAAAAATATATCACGGTATTTCTGGTATTTATTGCGATAACGATATTAATGACGATAATTCAGGGAATCCTGTTTCTTTAGAGAAAAGTATTATCTTTCCTATTTTTACCCAAAATAGGGTGTTGTGAGCATTAATGAGTTCACACGTAATGTAAAGACTGTTTAATTCATACTGGAAGCCGGAGGGCGCTCTTGCAGAGAAACTCCACATATCCATAGCAGAAGTAATATTACTGACGACGTTCCAGGAAGGTATCCAGTTATCGCTGAATAAAACGCACAACAGAGATAGAAACATTTTAACTGATGAAACTTGAGGAAAATAAACATACGATTGCACAAAATATATGGTTTATCTGTGTTTTTCAATCTTGAGTATTTTTATAAGAAAAGTATATTTATAATGCAATGTTAATCGACATGGCCTTTATCACTGTATATAATACTATCATTCTGTATATGAAACCACGTCTGGTCACAAAAAGAAGTATTTCAAACACTCGACTATGTTATTAAGTTTGGAGAAAAAGCATGTCAATAAATTATATCTTTGTTGGACAACAGGTTTGTAAACAGGCTCATACACATGCAAAACTGTATCGCACACGTGCTACTGTAGTACATTTATTCAGACCGATTTTTTGTGCACTGTACAGGCCTAACCAAACCAGTTACAGATTGTAAAAGGAGCTCAAGCTCCTCATTTAGCAATATAGGCTACTCCTCCTCAATTTCACGTCCGCCTTCTGCGATGTCGCTCCGCACAGAAATATGTCAACAACTAGACGTTATCGTTATTATCGCGGGAAGACTAATTCTTATCGTGGGGAGAATTTTTACCGGTATATCGCAAACGATAAGATATCGCCCATCCCTAATAGCCTACTAATTTATTTTTAATATACTTTTTTTTAATTCCAACTAGGGCTGTTATATATGGAAGCCCGTTTCCGTCACTGAATCAAAAATAAGAAAGGTAATTGTGACTTTTTTTTCTCGCAATTTCGACTTTACATTTCGCAATTCTGACTTGTTTTCTCATAATTGCCTGATACAAACTCGCAGTTCTGATTTTTTTTCTCAGAATTGCGTGATATAAACACGCAATTGCGAGTTATAAAGTCAGAATTGTTAGATATTAACTCGCAATTGCGATTTAAGTCAGAATTGTGAGTTATAAACTCCCAATTCTGAGAACATAGTCTTTTTTTCTCCTCATAACTGGACATTATAACTCACAATTGCGAGTTTATATCTCACAATTCTGAGAAAAAAAAGTTAGAATTGCGAGATACAAACTCACAATTGCAAGAAAAAAAGTCAAAACTGTGCATTTATATCTCCCAATTCTGACTTTATAACTCGCAATTGTGTTTATATCTCACAATTCTGAGAAAAAAAGTCTGAATTGCGAGACGTAGGCCTAAACTCACAAATGCGAGAAATAGTTATTCCAGGCTTCAATAGTTATAAGAAGGAGAAGTGGGATAAAGTGGAGAAATTATTTTGGGTGCAGCAAAAAAGACTGACCTTATAAAAGTTTCAGTAAATCTAAAAAAATGTGTGATCAGGTTATGAAATTAATACCCACCACCAGTCAAATGTAAGCTATGCCAATGAAGCTAATTTGAATTTGAATGAGAGAGAGAGAGATACACAAGAAATGTTTTTGTTTGCTTGTTTTTGTAGTTTTCCAGTGCAGTGTATTTCAATTGTGGTAATACCAGCAACATCTGTATCCCTGAATGTACTTAATAAAAAAATATATCAAATATTTACCGGATGGCAGTGAAACGTTCACCATAGAACCATGACACAAACTGAAAACTGAACCGTTACAACTGCTACCAAACACAGCACTGAAACTTACCATTCTCCTTTCATTTTACTCATCATTAAGCAGCTGTTCCCCATCAAATTATGACTAGTTACACACATTACAAATTAATTATGCAATAGCTCAGTACTACAGACAGCTGCAGGTGGGCATGTCGCATCAAAGAGGCAGAAAGCAGCGGGGGACAGTGTGTGGATGTGAGGGAATACGTAGGCACAGGTTGAGCCGGGTCAAGGACTCAAATGTCTGCAAAGCTCTTAAGTTAATGCAGGCGCCGAGCCCATAGATCTCACTCTCGACTTCTGCAGTGTATTTGTACAGCTCCCAGAGTGATAGATAAAAGGTGGCACGTCCATCACCTCAGGAACAAGAAGAAAGTAATAGAGATAAAATCACAGGCTAGTGTATGCAAAGCCAGAGATGAGATTTCACATCGTGTCGCCAGTGTTTAAACACAAAGCAGTGACAGGACAGTCAATGTGAGCAACTCAATTATTTTGCTGAAGTGTCACAGTCTCAGGCATGAGTGAACCAACCTCTTGGCCACTCAGCCATGACAGCGGCAATTAGCCCTGCCCTGTGTAGGCTGTGAGGATATCCCTCCTTCAAATCGTCTCATCAAAACCTATTACTTTTGTGAGATCCACTTATAATGTTAGACAAGTTGTTTATTTCAGTCTCAACTGTTAGATAGCACACTTACAGTCCATTTACTGACCGTCTGATGCATACTGCACTCAAATCAAATCAGATTTTTTTTTTTAATGGTACCAGGATGTCTTTCAGAGGAAGAATGTATCCATGGATTTGCCTTGATTAGAGGCATTAAACCTTTTTTTCTCAAATATTTATTTGGAATAAATCAATATACCTATTCACTTTTAAATATACAAAAATTTAGCAATTTTATTTTTTTTTACCAAACCTAAAATGTGCTGTAGCTCATCTTTTATTTAGTGTAGAAGTGGAGAATTTGATTCATCCCCTTGACTCAAATCTTTTGAATCTGTCTGTCAAAAATATTTGTTCAGATTCGTTGTGTGATGACCAATGACCGTTATTGCATGTTTGAGTGTATTATTGAATTGTTCACTTAACCGCTTCATAAAAACACAATAAGTTATATCATGTTTTTTACTAAACTTAAACACATAACAGTTTGCTGATCTTTTTTTCTACTGCAACTATTTATTAAATTCATCTTCTCACACACCAGAGAGAGAGATGCACCATAAATAATCAGTTAAAAAAATATATAATAATAATAATAATAATAAAACATCCTTTAATTTCTTGCATAAAAATGGCAACATATATGTAAATAACATATTGGCTAACTTCTGCGCACTGCAATAGTTTATAGTGTCATTCATGTCTTCATTCATATTTTATTTATTTATTTAGCTTTTTTATTTTAGTTTATTTAATTTTATGAACAGTTGCAGCAAAGATAGAAGAGCTAGAACTCAAACTTGAAGCGCTAATGTGATATACAGTGTGACTGCTTGTATGTGACTTATATTTATTTTTCTCATTCAGTCAGTCATTGTCAGCATTGAATTAACCCCCAAATTTTTTCAACAGGGCAAAAACAAAGATTATCTTTTAGACTGCAGATATTAAAGAGACATTAGAAGATGAATATTCTGGAACAATGACAGTTGGACTCCTACCGATGACTCGAAGGTGTTTTATGTTGTATGAAAGGTAATTGAGCATGTATATGTAGTGAATCTATTGTGTCAGCCATTCAGATGAAGGAGGAGGTCTGCTGGAAAGCCAGTGTTGTGCTCAGCCGTGAGACTTCAATTAACCCAGTACACTGGCAGTAATTGTTTATGATGACCTGAGGTTAAAAGTGCATGCTTGGTGCGATTTGTTAATTGTACCCCGCGGATTCATATGCAAGAAGATTAAAAAGACCAGCGGTACAGTTTAGAGGTTGGACTTGGGATAATAAAAAGGCTGAAATCTTATGCAAAAGAGAAAAATGATCTGATCTACCAGCTCTTCGGTCACATTGGTCTGGCAAAAACAGACAGCAGTTCTTCCTCTTCAAGTGTTTAAGACCAGATGTCTTCACACAATACTTCTGCTTATCACCACAGCTCACATCCTTAGATACTAGGTGGGGATATTCAAGAAACGCCAAGTTATGAAGTTATCTTTCTGTGAAGGGCTAAAATATCATCAACATCAGGCGTCATGGTCACTGGCTTTTACATTTTGCCCCGTAGTGAGCTGTCATCTTGCCTCTCCTGCCAAACTGCAGGGCTGTCATAAAGCAACCATGTGTATTCCTGTTGATTAGCCGATCACAGTTAACCACAGCATGACCAGTTTCCCCCCAAAGATCAAAAGAACAACCATCCAACTGTCTGGTTTTCTTTTGTCAGCACAGTGACAGTGGCTTTCTGGACATTTCATCTCTTGAGGCCTGTAGACACAATGTCCATAAGCAGAGGCTGACAGATTCAAAATCTGCTAATAGAAAACATATTTTTCTAACCAGTATCTGCTTTAAAACAGTGGCTATCAAGGGGGTTGGGGGATGGGGGGTTGGTTTGCTGACAGTTATGTAACATCTTTCAGTTCTGAATTGAGCCCTTTCATCACTGTGGGAAACTTAAACCACAGGAAAGTTACACAGTTTAATGTGACAAAACATTAAGTT